GGGGGGGGGGGGGGGGGCCCTCATAATGGGAACAGCAGGTGTACAGACCCGGTAACTCAGGGCAGGGAGGGTGAGAGCCCCTCATATCGAGCACGGCATGAACTCAGGGCAGGGAGGGTGAGAGCCCCTCATAATGGGACACAGCAGGTGTCCAGACCTACAAACACACAGTGCAGAGATGGTGGGAAGCCCTTATAATGGGCACAGCAGGTGTGCAGACCCAGGGACTCAGCACAGGATGGTGGGAGCCCCTCATAATGAGCACTGCAGGAATGCAGACCCAGGAACTCAGGGCAGGGATGGTGGGAGCCCCTCATAATGGGCATAGCAGTTGTGCAGACTCGGGAACTCAGCACTAAAATGGTGGGAACCCCTCATAATGGGCATAGCAGGAGTGCAAACCTGTGAACTCAATGCAGGGATGATGGGTACCGCTTTTATTGGGCACTTCAGGTGTATAGAGCCAAGAACTGTGCAGATATCTCACCAATAGAGTCTCTGGAAGATAAATGAGACTGTGAAGGGTTAGCTCTCATGGATATGACAAACAATAACATATCAGGTTTGGAAGGAGTGACCCTTGAATAGCAGTATGACGTGTTGCGCACAGGAATCTGACTGCATGGCTCACTCACAGGCTTCTCCTTCATTCAGATGACTCCTAGGTGAATGAGGCCTTGCTGAGCATCCCATGTCACTTTCCTCTGACAGTTGTCAGGTGACACCCTGAGCTGGTCTTCTGTATGGATCTGGACTGAGGAACCCAGAAATGGTGACCGCCATATCATGCCTTTGGTCAGAAGGGCAGTAATAGCATTGCATATCACCCTACCCTATCATTCTCAGTATCATGTGACCCGAGCCGCTCGACGAGGGTTCGCACTGTAGTCTCTGCACTGCACATCCAGATTTACAATATGTTTTGTGAAGATTTTTTTAATGTGTTTTCGTTACTTCTCTTATGATATAAATATATATACATATGTATATAGCTTTTACCACAATGTTGCCTTTTGGTTGCAATATTGAAGATTGTAAATGACATCTGTGTAATAAAGTCACAGACGGTTCACAAACACAACCGGGCTCTGAATTGTTTATTCCGTACCATCTTTGCCGCGGAGCGGATCCTCAGTTAGCTCAAGCGAACTACTCTTTAGGACAGGGGTCTCAAACCTCCGGCCCTCCAGCTGTGGTGGAACTACAGATCCCATGAGGCATTGCAAGATTCTCACAGCCACAGACATAACTCCCGAAGAGAGATGCATCATGGGATTTGTAGTTTCACCACAGCTGGAGGGCCGGAGGTTTGAGACCCCTGCTTTAGGATGTAATGAGGAGCACTCCTTTATAGTAATCATACTGCCACAGTCACAGAGATGATCAGATTTTCACAGCAGAATCATTACAAATGTTTGGTGACCTTTTCCAGCTCATGAAGTAGCCATCAGGGTTCACGTCTGTTATTCTTATGTGTGATTTATATGAGAAATGATCTCCATGTATTCACAGTCCTGTTGTATCAGGGGCTTTATAACACACAGTGGAAAGGAGGAGGATGGAAGTGATGTCTTTTCTATCTACAACGTACGAGCAAAAAAGTCTGTGGACACCTGACCATCACACCTATTTGAGCTTGTTGGACATCACATTCCAAATCCATGGCCATTTTTACAATAAATGTTGGAGTGTGTGTGGGAATTTGTGAGGTCAGGTACCAGTGGCGTAACTATAGCCATAGCAGTCCAGGTGGCTGCTATGGGGCCTGGGGCTGGAAGGGGGCCCCACTAGGTTGTTGAGGCAAATTAAACATAGAACATGTGAAGATAATACAGTACTATTTCATTAAAGGGTTATTAAACCCTCTGGTGTTTTTGCATATATCTAGTGCAAGCAATATATATATAAGCAAAAAGTGTTAAAAAAACAAACAAAAACGCTTTAAACTCACCTGTGTCTTCCCCGCACTCTCCCGTCCGAAAATGTGGAGATTCTTGGGCGGCCGCAAAGCATCTTGGGGCGGGCGCATGCGCAGTTCACATTTTCGGCCGGGAGACGAGGAGAGACGCAAGGTAAGTATATGGACGCGTGCACCCGCATGCAGACACGGTGGGACAGGAAGTGTCAGCAAGCACAGAGGAGTCAGCGCTGGATCGGAGAGCCGCCGCAGAGCTGGAGAGACAGGTGAAAAGGACAGGAAAGAAGAAGAAGATCGGATTAAGAGACATCATTTAAGGTGAGTCCTGACACTAACATTGGGGGGAGGGAAACATTATTTTTACTGTAATGTCACTTTAAGGGTTGGAGTGGTTAGAGTTGACTGTAAAGTCTACAGTGTAAAGATGTCTTCGTATGCACAAGAGGAATGTTGGGATTTTGGCATTCTTACAGCTCAAAGCGAGGTCATCAGGGGGGCCCCCCATCACATTTTTGCTAAGGGGCCCCATGATCTGTAGTTACGGCCCTGTCAGGTACTGATGTGGGATGAGAAGCATCCAATTCATCTAAAAGGTGGTCCCAAGAGGAGACAGGGTTCTGTGAAGGCCACTCAAGTTCCTCCACACCATTGGAGCAAACAAAGTCTGGAGCAGTTGCCCATGGCAACCAATCAGCTTCTCTCTTCAGTTTGCCCAGGTAAGATTTGAAAAGGAGAGAGAGAAGCTGATTGGCTGCAATGCAAATTTGCTCCAGTTTTGATAACTTCCCCTTCATGTCTTTATGGAGCTGGCATTGTACACAGTCATGCTGGAACAGAAAGGAGCCCTTCCCAGACTGTTACCACAAGGACTGAAATGCATAATTGTCTAAAATGTAATAATTGGGAGGGGTTCACATACTTTTGGCCCTATAATGTACAATGTATGCAGAGTTAATTTAACAGCCTAAAATAGAAGTTGCTGAAGACAGGGCTCCAGCAGAAGAGTAGAAAGCTAAAAGACCTGGACGGTGAGGCTGTAAAAAAGTATCTCAGCCACTGCAGCTCTATCCAGGAGACCCCTTGCTTTATACAACTGGGTGCTTTTTAAAGGTATTTTCTGATAAATGTGCCAGAGAGGAATGGGGGTGTGGGGGGGTCTCTACTGATTTATACACAAGGCTGGGAATTTAGCGAAGGTCTTCATACTTACAATCATGTGACACAGGTGATGATGCTCGCCTTCTTCTCCTGGTGGCTGGTAAGCAGACAGACCACGCCAAAGCCACGCACTCACAGTCACTGAGTTGCAGAGCAGAGAAGTCACAGAAGCCATTCAGCTATAACAGTGGTCCCGGCTGAATTTCTGTTATCTTCTCCCGTTGCTCTTGTGTACTACACACAAAAAGTAGTCCTGAAGAAGGAGATGCAGATCCCCACAACATGTCGAGTTACAATGAAATATGTAGCATGAATAAAGGGACCGCTGCTTCTTTTATCCACTTAGGCTATAGGCTTTGCCTTTCTAAATAGAGTGATGCGCCCAGGCAGGGCCGTCTTTAACTTTGGTGTTGCCCCCACCTCTTCCGTATGCTGCTGTTAGGGCTGGGGGGGGCCCAAGAAATTGTCAATCAGTATTAAAGACGGCCCTTTCAATTAACAACAATGTATCTTATTTGTGTATCACTCGGCTGGAGATTCTCAAATCATCTCTGAATTGGTGCTGACACTGTCCTTCCTTCTGGAGGGGGCCTACTATTGTTCCCCATGGTCCCTGTGTGTGTAGTAAAGTAGTCACTGCTCCAAGCTCGCTCCTGGCATGGACTATAATCTTAACACAAACGTGAGATTGTTGTCCATCATGGTAGTGAGCTTGGATGGGGCTGATCCCTCACCATACCCTATCCCTATATTCTTCCTCCTCTGCTCCACACCACCATAGCTTCCATTTTCATCACAGACAATATGGCTGCTGTCTCATGTTTTGGAATACAATATGGCCAGGACGTGTATTTTGGGGTGTGGTTTGAGACAATGGGGGTGTGGACTGTGTTGTTTCTGATTTCTATACAGTTGATGATCTTGCTTCTCATGTTTATGGAAGTATGCACCACTAGCCTTTACCTTTTTCCCCCTGTGAGGGTTCCCTTATTCCCCTCATGGGCGCAATACAGTAAAGGCTAGTGGTGCACATTGTTTTATCATTACCCCATGTTATAATGTTCTCTAAATATAAATGTTTTTAAATCCCCACAACACTGTACATACTCTGATGTTTTGTACATATGATTTATTATTTACGTGTTATATATGCGTATGTGTCCCCTTACCCCCCCCTCCTGCCAGCTCCATCCAGACATCATACCGGATGATGATAGAATGTCATTCTAGAACATAATTCGGAGTACATCAGTGGCAGACTTTCGTTCTGTTTACCGGTCTGGACCTGGTGAGGGCTTTGGTTGGCTCTGTAGTCGAGCCCGCTCTTGATTGCTCCTCAGAACCTGGCTTATGAAGAATTCGCTCTCCTGTCCCACATCAGTCAGTCGCAGATCGAACTCCAGAAGCGTTTTGTTTTCCGACATCCCGTCCAGCAGCTGCTTCCCGCCATCCTGAGGACACAACGGATATCAAATGACATCAGACAGAATTCCAGCACGTTCATCAGACTCATATCCTGTGTTGATCCTTCATAGTAATGTATGGAACAACATACATGCTGTGTATGTGGTGCCAGAGGCATTGAGCAGTACCATGGAGTATAATCCACTGGGTAGGCCAACAGTGGCGTCACAATGGGGGTGTGGGGGGCCCGCACTCGGGTGACACCATTGCAGGGGTGACACCAAAATGACTGACAGTCATTTTGGTGTCACCCCCCTCTAAAAAGTCAGGCACTCGGTCATGGCCCGAGAGCCCGACGGTGTCAGGATAGAGGAGGGGACTCGCGGCATACCTCATCCCGCCGGGTAAACGTCCCCTCCACTCTCTGCTGGCGTCCATCACCAAGATGACCACTGGCAGGCTTCAAATCAGATGGTTGTGCATGCGTGAGGTGACATCACGGGCCCGCGCGATGACGACACAGCGGGATGTCACCCGGTCTGGAGACCGGGTAAGACCCGGCCTCGGGACGCCCCTGCCAAGGACAATCAGACTGGAGAGGAAAGAGCTAGTGCTGCTGGACGTCCTCCAGCCAGGAAAGAGGCGGGCTCTATCTGACTTGCTGCATCTTCTAATGCACATGGTGAGGAGCTCACAGTGTGCAGTGAAACCAGAGGAAGCCATTTCAGCACAGATGAGAAGTCACTATAACTGTGCAGGACTGAAGGGACGGCCGGAGTTCAGCTTTAAGCTGTGAATCGCTCTATTACAAGAGGCAGTAATTGCAAAATCAATGTCAGAATTTAAAAAGGTGATAGGATACTTTTAGTCCAACTAATAATATCCAAACTTTATAATACAGGAGGATACTATGACAATATCTGCATCCAGGGAACTGTTCTGACTGCCTTTGTGGGTGCAGGAAGGATATTTTATGGAATGAGTTGAACTTTATAGACACATGTAACTATCAGGGTTATTCACAAAAGGGTGAAGAGTTTGGAGAAGGCCGGAGAAGTGATCAATCTAGGACAACATAGTTGAACTGGAAAGTGAGCTGAATTGGAGAATTTTTTCAAATCAGCTATTCTGGCCTAGATTGTTCACTTCTCCTGCCTTCCCCAAACTCTTCACCCTTTAGTGAATAACCCTGTATATATCTGACCGTTCTATGCAGTGCAGACCATCATCAGGTAGAGCTGAGTCAGGTACATACCAGGCCAATGGGGTTGCAGGAGAGGCCGATGCTCTTCAGTGCTGTGTTATGGGTGAGGACCTGTGTCAGGACAGTTGCTGTGGGTTCAGACAGCTCGTTGCTCCCCAGATGCAAAGTCATTAGGGTGCTGTTATGCAGCAGAGCGTTGCACAGCGCCTGTCCGCCCTCATCCCCGATGTGGTTCAGCCACAGAATCAACATCTTGAGGATGGAGTTTTTGGACAACGCATGAGCGATGGCCTGCGCTCCATGCGGGCACACATTGTTGTTGCACAGGTTGACAATCTGAAGCTGGCTCTGATTCAGCAGTTTGCCTATAGCGCGGGCTCCACGGTCTGAGATCTGGTTGTGTGACAGGTCAAGGTGAACCAGAGATGGATGGTCTAGTAAACTCCTGATCAGGATGCGAGCCAGGTCATCATCCACTTTACTCTTGTGCAGTCTGAAGACCTGGAAAATGCGGACAGAATGATTAGAGGAGAAAGGAATACAATAGGGAGGATGTTTGTGAAAAATGGAGCTATGAAAAAAGAGCTGTGCTTATAGCGACCAATCAGAACAGGAGAGCAGTGCTTACAGCAACCAATCATAGAAAGAGAGCCATACTTACAGCAACCAATCATAGAGAGAGCCATACTTACAGCAACCAATCATAGAAGGAGAGCCATACTTACAGCAACCAATCATAGAAGGAGAGCCATACTTACAGCAACCATTCAGGAAAAGAGATTTATGCTTACAGCAACCAATCAGAGAAGGAAAGTATTGCCAACAGCAACCAATCAGATACTAGATAACTAACACAGGTTACACACTAATACCATCACCTGGGGTTTGAAAAGCATAGCTGTCCCTGGGCCTATGAGGTGAGAGGACCCCTGCATTATTCTTTCATAGCTATGTGGGAGGCGCAGAAGCCGTTGGTGCTGTGCTCCCTTGGAGTGGCGTCCCAGGGTGTGCCAGAAAATCATTTGGGAGTGGGACCCCACAGTGATTCACTGTCACTATGTCACGGCACCTAAAGCTTTTTCTGCACTATGCACTAGGCATTTTTTTTACCTTGGCTGAAAGGGTTGTGTACTGGCACCTCATTTATTTTACACACTTTGAGAACCTTTTGACCCCACAGAAACGAAGGGTGCGGGTACCTTCAAGGCCTGCCCTGATATTAGGAGGGAGGCTCTGTGGCCTTTATGCGTTTCTCTGCCTCCCTCCACTTTTAGGGGTCTCTCTTCAGGAGAGCCCCTACCTAGTTACTCATGGGACCTGTTTCAGCAGAGCCCTGAGGATCGGGGTCCTCCTGGCTTTGGCTAGGTGGACTTGGGTTGACCTTGCCCCTGTCAGGAGCCTTGCGCCCCAGGGGTTCAAGGTATTCGAGGCCCTTCCACTTCGGAGGATCTCTAATGCACCGTCGTGCACTTTTTTTTCCGTGTGCTGTGATTTCACGGTTCACTTTTTTGTTCACAGGGGTGACGTTTTGTCTTCGATGCACGCATCACGGACCAAAATAAATAAATAATGTGTATGCCTTACATCAGGGGTCTCAAACCCAAATGGCCCGCAGGGTGGTACATCGAGACCCCCGTCTTGCATTCTCAAACCAGCATTTCTTTTCGTTGCACCACTTTTCTGTGCTCTTGAATGGGGCTCCGTGGCTTGAATGGGGAATTTCTGGAACCAGGGAACGCTTATATGCAAATCCTCTGCCTATCCCCGCCCCCCCCTCCCCCCCCCTCCCATTACTGGTCCATTTCTGTGATGTTTGGTGGGATGTGGCAGCCCTAATTGGACTTGAGAACAGCTCAGATTTTGGTTGTTTTGGGGCGTTTTGTGTGTCCTGTTTTCTTTTGCTGGGTTAGTAGTATTAAAGCGGCCACAGGTTCCATTTATCAATACTAACTGGTAGCTAAGCACTGACATATGATAACAGTGAAAAACGCGAGATATAGACATGTACCACTCGTATAGTTCCAAATCACAATTCGGACGAATTTTCCAAAATTCGGGCATTCTGAATTTCTGAATCCGAATGTGTCCGAATCTGAATTCCTGTCCAAAAACTAAAATGAATCGGAGACATGACTTTTCTGGCCAATCAGATGTGTTTTTCGGTTTAATGCATCTGAATGGGTCGGAACACAAATTTTCGTTACGGCAACAGTACATACATATATACAGGGCTCGAAAATTCCACTCGTCTGCTCGTCTGTGACGAGAGGACGTTGGAGCCCGACAAGCAGCTTCCCGGCCGGCCGTTGTAATTACACGGCCGGCCGGGTGCTTTACAGTCAAGCGATCGAGCGTCTGTCGGAACGTGCTGAAAAACGCCCTATGCCCAAAGAAGTAAAGGCGCGTTTGACGCGCGTTTTGTGGGCTGCAAATCATGCACCGCGCGTCATACACGCATATTTCGAACGCCTAGGTGGGAACCCAGCCTAAAGGAGTTTTGTTTTCCACCAATTTTAGGTGATGGCCTCTAGTTTTTGTAACGGAGTTAATTTTAAACAGTTTATCGCTAATGTTGCTGCCACCATTAAACATTTTGTACATGGAAATCATATCCCCCCTTAATCTCCTCACCTCTAATGTGAACATGTTTAAATTTACATATACATATATTACAAGACCCGAATGGCATTTGGGAGCTCCCGAATGCAATTCAGAAATTTGGATCCGGAATGCCATTCAGGTCTGGAAACTATATACATATACCGTGTTTCCCCGGAAATAAGACAGACACTGTCTTATATTTTTTTGGCTCAAAAAAAACACACTAGGTCTTATTTTTTTTTTTTATGTACAACAATCCAAAGTTAATGCAAATCCAAATGAAATAATCCAAAATGGCAAAGTTAAGAATAGGGTGATCAGGGCAATCAGGGGTGCCGTATCTTTCCAAGAGCAATTTTGTTACCAACTGCTGGCCAGAATGAGCGAAGCGCGCTTCCACTATCGATTCCTCACAGGCGGAGTGCATTTGGTATCACTCGGCCTGTGACAGGAGCCAGCGCTATAGAGGAAGCATCGGCTTATGCAGCTCTGCTCCCTCCGGTGCCGCCTCGCTTTCCTCTAGAGCTGGCTTAGTTGTCACCTCTGATTCTCTCCTGCGTCTCTTCAAGTTCCCCCTTATGTGACCATTCCCACCGGCCCTCGGAATGGTCACAACTAGGTCTTATTTTCGGGGTAGGTCTTATATTTTAGCAATTCCCAAAAATAGTGGTATGTCTTATTTTCGGGGTAGGTTTATTTTCAGGGAAACAGGGTATTACCAAAGCTGAGGCTCCCAGACCCGAATGGCGTTCGGGATCCCAATTTCAGAATTGCATTTGGGAGCTCCCAAATGCCATTCGGGAGCCATATACATACATTACTAAAGCTGAGGTTCCCAGACCCGAATGGCATTCAGGAGCTCCCGAATGCTATTCGGAAATTCGGATCCTGAATGCCATTCGGGTCTGGAAGATTCGGCTTTAGTATTAATATCTGTATATATGGCTTTCTGTGGTATTCTCAACAAATATTCATAAACTTATCTGAAATTAACAAAAATTCAGATTTCATTAGAATCGAAATTTTTCAACTGCTTACATGTCTAGTGAGATAACCTCACAGGGTGGTATTTGTTTGAAATGTAAATATTACGACACACCAGCATGGACCTGGTTTACTATCGATAGGACTGAGATGAATCGCTCCTTTAGCTTCCAGAGTGCCATGGAAGCCCCAAATGTTGGAGAGAACTCTTCTACAAACAGCATCTTTCAATTTAGAAGTATTGCTGCTGCCCACCACCTTCTGCACTACACTAGTAGTATCTTAAAAGAGGCAGCTGTCTCCTGATCGCTTACCTTCAGGTTTCCGAACGTCTTAAAGGTGTTGGCAAGCAGACTGCAATCCCGCTCTGTGAACCTAAAGAGGTTCCACTCAAAGTTCATGCCGCAGCCTTTAACTCCATAGACAAGGTGCAGTTCTGCTAGACCACATAGTGAATTGGCTATCAGGTTGAAATCGAAGTGGTCCATGGATGGCAAGTCACCCCCAGCCTCGCTTCCTGTCTCCGAGATCTCGTCACCCTCCTCATCCTTCTTGATCTCCACCTTCACCGGTGGCAGCAGCTGCTGGATGTCCAGCCGTTTCACATAGTCCTTGCTGAGCTCAGCAGCCTCACAGATGGTTTGTGTCTCCATTACGTCAGGAATGAAGCCTTCGATTAGATTTTCCAGGTGTCTCTCGAAGAATAACCTCTTCCAGCTGGAGCCGTAGCGAGAAATGTCACAAACCGGCCAACGCTCAGCACAACAACGCCTCCAGTAATCTTCATAGCTGATTAGATTTGCTGTCACTTCCAGGGGCAGCGAGCTGGAGAGAGTGTCCAGGACTTTGGCCTTGTGCTTCGGAAGCAACTTCTCCAGAATAGGTTTATCTGTGGACATTCAACAGAAAGAGAGTCATCCAGAGACAAGTCACACCATAGTGACATATATTGTATTCTGGTAACTGTATGACGGTAAAATCTATAATGATAGTATTTACTAAATATATATATATACACTATATTACCAAAAGTATTGGGCCCCTCCCCCTCCAAATCATTGTATTCAGGTGTTCCGTGACATTTCCTTGCTACTACATATTCCGCGGTCACCTGTTACTGGGATTATAACAAAGTGGAAGCAACTGGGAACAGCAGCAACTCAGCCATGAAGTGGTAGGCCACGTACAATGACAGAGCGGGGTCAGCGCATGGTGAAGCGCACAGTGCGCAGAAGTCGCCAACTGTCTGCAGAGTCAATAGCTACAGACCTCCAAACTTCGTGTGGCCTTCAGATTGGCACAACAACAGTGCGTAGAGAGCTGGCCTCTTTTTTACAATTTGATTTAACCCGTTATCGAATGGGTAGGGGTACAAGTACCCCTTACTCATTCGTAATGGGGGGGTCTGCATCTGGGTTTCACATCACAAGCTCCCCTCTTCACATGACAAGTCCCTCTCTTCACATTACAAGCTCCTCTCTTCACATCAGAGTCTCCCAAGACCCACTCTTCACATTACAAGACCCCCTCTTCACATCACAAGACCCCCCTCTTCACATGAGAGTCCCCCCCTTCTAGATCAGATTATTTCCTGTCACATTAGCAGCCCCCTTTATATCAGAAGTCTGCCTGCACCTTGCAAAGCTATGATGCTTTGAGAATATTTTGAGGTATCCCTGAGCAAGGCTGAAGGCACCCTGGGGTGACACAGTACTCTGGATGGGAAAGGCCGGTCTATAGAGCAGATTGAATATCCTGTACGGCTTGCTGGGAACTCCATATCATTCGAGAACCTGAAGCTACTTAAATTGTGTATGGAAGATTAAACTGGCCGGTGCACGGATGATTTACACACAGAACATGTGAAAGCTGCTGGCCCAGAAAACACCGGGAGGAAACATTTACAAGATCAGAAAACGTGAGAGACGGCAGCTGTCCCCGGGAGCAGACCGGCCTCCATATCTGTCCCTCATGGCTATATCCTAGCCGTGTGCTCAGATCACATCAAAGCTGAAGGTCTTCACATTTCATTTCCTTTATGTGCTGGTGGAGCTTCTGCAAGTCTTGGCGGGATCCATGAGAAGAAGAAAGGAGAAAATCAACAAGACCCTCCGGGAAAGGCTTTGCACCGGCACCCTGGAGCTTTACGCAATTTTTAGTAATTCAGTAAACAGATGACCACCTCGAACTGATGAAATCATGTTACAGCAATCGATGGCATATGGCCGCGCAATGTGTGATTGATGGCTGTTACATGCTACTGTGTCCCTTACATCATAGGAAGCCCATTATCCCATCAATCAACGATTTATCACGATCTTCCGCCAATCATTGCAAAGCAATATTAGTGCAGTTCTAAAATGTGCCCATACACATAGGCCCGACCCCACAGGGACGGGGCTTGGGTAGGACACGTAGGTATGTGGACAAGATCTGGGTGGGCCTATGGCAGAATGTGGGTGGAGTTAAAGAAGAACTCCGGGCATGTACAAAATGACCTTGACAGTGAAGCAAGTGCTTGTTTTGGTCTAGAATAAAAAATATTACACAGTAAACTAGGGATGCAACGATACCAATACTAGTATCGGTATGGGTGCCGATGCCGAGTATTTGGGCGAGTACTTGTACTCGCCCAAATGCTCCGATGCCTAGCCCGATACTTCCGGTATCAGGAAGCCGGCTCCATGCTCCCTTGTCACTTGTAATGACTCTCTGTCTGGCTTCCTGATTGGTCGGGAAGCTGGCCAATCAGGAAGCCGGGCGCCGTCACCGACGAGGGAGCATGGAGCTGGCTTCCTGACCAATCAGGAAGCTGGGCGCCGCGTCATTACACGGCGCCCGGCTTCCTGATTGGCCAGAAAGCCGGCTCCATGCTTTCTCGTCACCTACTGATGAGAAGCACAGGGACGGCTTCCCTGCTAATCAGGAAGCCGGGTGGCGAGTCATTACACGCCGCCTGGTTTCCTTAATGGGACTTCCGGTATCGGTATTCGGTATCGGTGAGTACCGGAAAAAAAATACTCGTACTCGATACCGAAATACCGGTATCAGTGCATCCCTACAGTAAACTCTCAGTTATCCGGTATTCAACTAACCAGAACTCTCATCTAATCCCCCAAAAAAATTATATGATTATCATATATCAGTATGGCATTTAGACGTATTTTTAATAGTAGCTCTCAAGCGACCAGAAACTACATTTATCCAGAATCTACCAATCCCTATGGATGACGGATAACAGGGAGTTTACTGTACTCACCTGATCCTCGGCCCTGTTGTGGTGACCACTCAACTCTATCCCCCTCCATTCCCTTGGTGTCCTCATGTCTAATGCAGGTGAATGGATGTGATGATGTCACAGGTTCTTAGACCACCGCAGCCCAAGGAGAAGAGGCTGTGAGGATCGGTCTAGCAGCCATGTGAGACTGAGGATCAGATGAGTATTTATTTTAGGCCCTAGACCAAAACAAGCACTTAACCCTTGCAGTGGGGCAGTAGGCCCACTGCAAGGGTTAATTTTCTACATGCCCGGGTGCTCCTTTAACTGTGTCCTGGGGACAGGGAATGAAATGTTAGTAAGTATAGAAAAGCGCTCGCACCGAGCTCCTCGTGCCCCCTGGTTTGAATGCAGGTGAGAACTAAGGGGGTGTCGCCTCTTACCCCAAAAATATTTAGGCCAAGGACCCGTCTTCAGGTTCCTCTGATCATGCAAATTGGTATCAAAAGCAGCAAAAGTCTCACTTTCCATTATTCAAAGACGCCTAAACCAACACACTTCAACGAGAGAAATGACTTCATAGCACTGGAGCTTCCTATTTTTGGTGGTGCTGCGGTATGCAGTGGGGACATTTTCACACTTTCTGCTTTGCTTCTTCTTACGGCAGATATTCCTCGCCCTGATTCCACTCTGTACAACCCGCCGCCATGACTGCTCTCTGTCTCAGGGGCCGAGAGTTTAAAGGACGCCGAGATTATGAATAATTGAGGATGATTTTCTCTGCCTTATCTTGTGACAACATCCAGAGCAGATTATTAGCGTACAGATGAAATGTCACGGACTAAATGCCTCGACACACCCTAGGGGGATGTTTAGCCCCCCGCAGTGCCGGAAGGTGACCTCCTTCCTGGCGGGGGGAGGGAGGGGGAATGAATATGAAATCCTCTAACATAATCTGCAATAAACACATTGCTAATGAGTGGAGACGATTCCCATGCGTACATCGGGGACGGAGGGAGGACAGACTCACACGGGTCAGCCAAACGTCCATTTAAAGGGCAAATTGTAAGGAATTGAGCAGATGTGCGCAGTCCGTGTATGGGGCCAGTTTGTGGCAGTCAGTGGGGGTCATTCATACACTGCAGTGTTTAGATGGACTGGCATGACATTGTGTGCACATGTACATAGAAGACCAGGTCCGTTTTATTCAAGGTACAATAAGAGGCCACTAAGACAAGAGGGCCACCGAGAATTGTGCATATAGTGGAGTTTAGACTGTGAAGCTGCAAAGTCTCCATTACATTCTCCACCCATTGGAGGGGGAATGACAGTGAAGCAATAAAAAGGAGGTGATGCAGCACAGAGAAAAAGCCATTTAGCTTTATACGCTATTTCCAGCCCACAATCTGGAAGGCTCCAGCAAAACACACCTGGTTTTTATACTGCAATACTTACCTTCATTCTGGAGCTGTCCTCAGCAGTACCTCTTCTTCACCACTAGATGTCCTCAGTCATATACAACATCCTGCAAACATACAAGAGGAGGACCAACAGCACCCTCGTGCACTTTAAAAAAAATTTTTTTAGTGTGTTGCGATTTCACTATTCACTTGTTTTGTTCACAGGGGATGTTTTCCTATGCACGCTGCACTGGCTTAAAAAAAAAAAAAAAGTACCTGATGATAATAAAAGTTTTATGCCCGGGGGGTGTTCATACAATTCATATTGATTGACAGATGGTTATCATTGTGTTCAGATCCCCAGCAGGACTGTTTGTATTTATTAATTACCTCCCATTGTGTGTTTTATGAATGGATGCTGCAGTGGATGCCGAAGTGATTGGCCATTTGGCTAATTGATGTTATTACTTAAGCATGTGCCTGCTGTTTGTACTCCATGATTGAAAAAGGAGCCTGTCTGATGGTTCAGAACATCACTTTATGATATGGGGAGTTTTATGCAGTATTTTTATGCTGCTCACTTGCACTTAAAATAAAAAGCTATGTGGACTGAGCTATTGGATTATAAAGTAATTTGTGCAGAAGGCTTTAGAAATACTGGCCAACTGATATATCTAATTTACACCATTAGGCTGTTATTTCCAGGCATCAGGCATTTGATACGAGAGTGGATCGAAGTGCGGCGCTTCATTATAAGATATGTAGGAATGGAATTGCTGCTGCAAGGAGTGCCACATATAAGATGTATTAGAAAAGCAGATCGTAAATATATATATATACACACTGAGTGGCCTGGGTCTTAAGTGGCCTGGGTCAAAATTTCTGTCCTGATCTACTAGCCAGGCCTTAAGAGTTACTCGCCACCAGTTGCCCACCTAACCCCTACCCTGCCGTGGCCTTAACTCCGCCCCTAAACACACCCTCTTAAATAATCTTATAGATGACACTCTTAGATGTCTTATGCAAAATAAAGTTACAAAAAGAAATATTAACAACAACTTTAACAATATTACCATAAAGCTTCCTGCCCCCACATATAAAATATTACCCTCTCCCCCTGTTCCCTGCCCCCTCACACATAAAATAAGAATCCCCCCAGTTCCCTA